GTTCCCCTTTCTACTAACAGTCCTTAATAGGGATTGTAATGGAGGGTACCATGATCCCTACTGAGGACTGCTAGTATAAGGGGGAACATCCCAGACATTTATTATTATTTTACTATAGTACTATAACCATTATTTATATTTATATGTATATGATTCTAACCACCTACTACTACTATCATCATCATTGTTACAGAAAAAACCTTGCAAGACCCCTTTGAAGACCCACACAAGCGCTGGAGGCTTGAGGCAGCTGCGCCTGGCGGGTCTGAAGAACATTTCCGCCAAAGGCGAGCTCCACATGTCCAGGTTTTGCGTTGTGGAGATGGGTTTACCTGAAGGCTGGAATGTAGCCCTGTTTGGCTGAATTTTGGGGATTCTCGTCGACTACCCCCAAAACAAGGTACTGCATAGGAGCCTTTGGGTAGTGTTGAGGGTTTGGAGTTTTGGGTTTTGGGCTTAGGGTTCAGGGTTTGGGATTCTGGGGTTGGAGGGTTCTAAGCCGCCAGAGCCGCTAGAAGCCCTAAACCCTGGAACCAGGCTTCGGGGCTTTAGGGTTTAGGGTTTAGGGTTTAGGGTTTAGGGTTCAGTATAGGCTTTAAAACTGTTGTTGGCCCATCTTTAATCCCCCCCTCGCCACCCCAATCTTCGGAAGTCCATGTGGACCCTCACTTCACGTGGCCTGTGGGTTGTAAAACGCTCCACAGGCAAGGGCTTTGGGGAGGGGTTTCGGGCTTAGAGAAGTCTAGGGTTTAGGGTTTCGGAAGGAGGGCCCAACATTTGAGTATCAAGGAGCGCCACGCGAATTTGTGCGATGCGCGGAAGACTCGTCTTTCTAGCGGACCTCCCGGGACACCCTCCAAACAGCACATAGGCTTGAGGGTCAGGGAAGCATGCGTAGAGATGTCTGGCCTTGCAGGGTCTAGGGGACATAGTTCCCCACGAAACTCCTACAGGCCCTAAGCCCTAAACCCCCCTGGTCTCTAGGGTTTCGGGTGTAGGGTTTAATTTGCCCTAAACCCTAAACCTTGGACCCAAAAAGGCCCCCGTGAAGCTGGCTGAGTCAGGCTTAGTTCCCTGCTGCCGCATGCCGGGGACCACAGTTCTTCCGCAGCTTCAGGCTTCGGAGGGTCTTATGGTACCACAATTCCCTTGTGGTCCCTTTCTTAATATAATATAATAACCCCCCCCTCGCTCCCCCAAAACTCACAGTATTCCCGTATTCCCTTTATAAATATACAAGAAATGGCCCTAAACCCTAAACCCTAATTCTTAAGGCCCCCATATTGCGCGCTGGATTCGCGGTAACTGCACGAAAGCCTCATCTCCGAACCCCTAACGCTGCGACCTTAACGTAGATCCTTGTTCAGGGTTCAGGGTTAGGGTTTAGGGTTTAGGGTGTAGGGTGTAGGGTTTAGGGTTTAGGGTTTAGGGTTTAGGGTTTAGGGCTAGGACCCAGAGTAGGCCCTTCTTCACTTTGCCTTGATAAGCTCCTTCAAACCCTCAGGGGCGCCCTTTTATTCCTAGGTTACTCTTGGGTCTAGTAGCCCTAAACCCGGAACCCTAGACCCTAAACCCTAAACCCTAAACCCTAAACCCTTCCTAGGCCACTCTTGGGTCTAGCTCAAGATGACAATGCACTGAAGCCGCCCCCCCCCCCCCCCCCCCCCCTCCCTGAAGCCGGCAGCATGCTTGCCTCTCCTACGTCCCTTGCCCCTACTTTTAGGGTTTAGGGTTTGGGGTTTAGGGTCTAGGGAGGCCCTGATGCCTTTTTTACGGGTTCAGATTCCTTGAGAAGCCCCTTCAAGCCAAAACGGGCGCCCTTGCTATTCCTAGGTTACTCTTGGGTCTCGTCACAAATCAAAGCTAACACAAGAAGCGCCAGCGAGACGCCCGCAAGCCAGACAATCCCGAAATCCCAAGCAAAGCCAAAACGAACAGCTGCCCTGTAAGCCCTGAAGCCCTACAAACCCTGTAAACTCTCAACCATGTAAGCCCAACCCCAAACCCCTAAACCCCAAACCCTAAACCCTAAACCCCCTAAACCCCAAACCCTAAACCCTAAACCCCCTAAACCCCCTAAACCCTAAACCCTAAACCCTAAACCCTAAACCCTAAACCCTGAACCCAAGCTTTTGCCCAGGCCATCCCTGGAAGAAGTGGCAGGGGCCCCAAGATGCCAAACGTCTGCTTGGAGGTTCATGGTATTTTTTGGTTTAGGGTTTAGGGTTTTAGGGTTTAATTAGGGTTTAGGTTACTTATTAACCAATTATAACTGTACTTGTAGCTGTACTTACAACTGTAGAATTAACCAATGACAAATGTACTTATAACCACATTAGGGCACTTTAGGGGCTTGTAAGTGGGGTTTAGGGTTTATTCTTTCGGGTTTAGAGTTTAGATAGAAAGCATGGGAGCTGCTCGAAGTTACAGGCACCGCTTTGGGTGCCCTGAAAGAACATACGAACCCTCAAACCCCAATATTTGCTGAATGAGGGTTTTGGGTTTAGGGGTACCCTTAAAACTCCTGTTTCTACCCTTTCAGGGACTGGGATTATGTAGGGTACCTAAGTCCCCCATTCCCTACCAACAACCAGGGGATATGCTAGGCACTAGTCGTAGGTTTCCTTCGAAACCCTTTTGATTCCTAGGTACTCTTGGGTCTAGTTTTACAGTTGTCGTGCCGTGATGGTTTGGAGGAGAGGTGTAGGACAGCCTCCCTTGCGAGTAGCGTGCGTTCAGGGTTTGGCCCCCAAAATATGTAAACAATGGCCCAAGACCCATAAACAAAGACACTTTGGGGGTTTAGGTAGGGTTTCGGCAACCTTCTGCGCGCTTTCTCGAGGACTGTAGCTCTTGCAACTCCGTGGCAGACTCTTTCCTGGAGCACAGCCGGCACACTTGACTGAACACAGCGAGGCCTAGTAAACTAGGTTGAGGGTTTAGGGTACTTGGGGTGTATGTTGGGTGGCTTACATTAGAATCATATATGGTAGTAAGCTGGATGATGATTTGGTAGTTATCCGGGCTCCCATATGCTTGCTAGCCCAGAGGTACCCTCTACCTTTTTTTGTCCTGGGTTCCCTTATAAAGTAACCAGCCCCAAGAAGGGTGCCCTAAACCCTAAGCCCTAAACCCCCCTTCTTATATTACTGCTACTGGGCTACTAAGTATCTGTTGGCGTGAGCGCATGTGAAGGTTCCTGCCGTTGGAACTGGTTGAAAAGTTGAGGAACGATGGCTCGACTATTGTGACCACCTAAGCTCAAGGATTTAGGGTTCAGGGTTTAGGGCTTCGGGTTTAGGAGTTTGTGCGCAGTCAAGGCGTCAGGACTGGAGAAAGAAGCCTTGAAAAAAACAAGGCTCACTCGTCAGGGTTTAGGGCTTACGGCTTAGGGTTTAGGGTTTAGGGTTTAGGGTTTAGGGCTTAGCCAATCTCTTGGTGGTTGGTTGAGTTCGGCGTGCTCATGTGCAGCTCTCACCAGCATTGTCTCCCACTCAGCATTGTGTCAGGTGCCCCTGGCCCTCGCGCGGATAGACTTTCTCATGGGGTAGAAACGAACCCTACCTAGACCCACGTTTTTATTTGCAATTGCTATTTTGTTTGTTTGTATGTTTTTTTTTTTTTTTTTTTGGGGGGGGGTTGGGGACGGCAACTAACTGGTTGATTGAAAACCAGAAAGCTGGGCACCCAAAAGAATATGTTAATTGTGGTCTTGCTAGTAGACTCAATTCCCCAAAGACCCCTACAAACCCTAAACTCTAAACCCGAAACCCTAGTGGCAGGTTCCTCCTAAACCCTAATCTCTAAACCCTAAACCCTAAACCCTAAACCCTACTGGCAGGTTCCTCCTGCGCCTGTTCGCCGGCCGTGCGGGGGGAGGTGGCGATGCGCTCCCATGCCTTCGGCCCGGTGTTTGCGTGACTTCTGTGGCCCTCAAAGGTAATCAAAAACCCTAAAACCATCCTAACCCTGAACCCTAAACCCTAAACCCTAAACCCTAAACCCTAAACTTGCTCTCTGCAACGCTGCATGGTGATAGCTTGATGCTTATATGAGGCACGCAGATCTTGCTTGGGGCTTGGGCTCGGTTTAGCGTTCGCATAGGTTCACGGATGAGGGTTTAGGTTTAGGGTTTGAGGGGTTTCGGGTTTAGTTGAGGCTTGTAGGGTTTCAGGCTTGTATCAGGCTTACATGGTTCTAGTTTTCGCTACGGGTGCTAGTCAGGGGCTTTAAACTCTAGTTGCGCAGGTTTGGATCAATTTCTCTGAGACCTGAAGTCTGTGCACCTCTTGCCCCGTAGTACCCACACTAGCGGAGAAGTGGACCCAAACGCACTTTTCGTGCAAGCAGTGGTAAAGCGGTGAAGAAACTCAGCTTCCCTAAAAGCCTGGCGGCTGCGCCCGCAAGGGGTCATGGGTTTCCCCTAAACCCTAGACCCAAGACCCTAGACCCTAAACCCTAAACCCGAAGCCCTAAGCCCTAAGCCCTAAGCCCTAAACCCTAAACCCTAAACCCAAACCCCGTTTAGACACGTGCGGCGTGACGTTGCAGAAGGAAGGGCACATGTATGAAACCCACGTTTAGTTTCATCAAGGGACTAGGGGACCTTAGGGGTGGTATAGAGGGGCTACATAAGGTACATATAGGGTTTATGTGTAGGGGAATACGGCTCTAAGGGTCCCCTCCTTCTTATACCCCTAAACCCTAAACCCCAAACCCTAAACCCTAATACCCCTTAGCTGTCGCATTGAACTGCAGCCCTCGGTGGCGCACTTGCACAACGCCCCGGCGCCATCAGTGGATTTGCAGCTCAAGAGAAGAGATCCCGGGCTCCTACGTACGTTTAAGCAACCAAGAGTCAAAGTAAGGGTGGATATATATATATATATATTAAGAGATACATAGATAGATAGATGTATATATATATATATATGTATACACGGGTTGCTCTAGATAAACCTGTGGGCCCTCTGCCCCACAATCTGGGCTTGTAGCTGGAGATGGATACCTGGTCCAGGCAAGAAGCCGTGGGCGAAGGATTGACTGCTACATCGCCGACGAAATCCGAGGATCTCTTGGTACTCGGACGAGAATGGGCTCTCAGCTTGGGTGCACATCGGTTCAGGGCTTAGGATTTAGGGGATGGGGTCTTGCAATGCAGTGCTTGGTAGCAAGGGAGTCGTCATCAGACAGAAGCCAGCCCCAAGAATGCTGGCAGAACAGCAACAGGCCCCCATTTCGGGCTTTAGGGGTTTAGGGTTTAGGGTTTAGGGTTTCACTCCACGAAGAACCCCAACAGGGACCCATATCTTTCGAGAGCCACCTGTCCTCAGACTCAAACCTAAGTGAAGCACTACACAATGGGATTTCGGATCCATCACTTCGGGGGTACAGTATAGGGCTAGGGTTCAAGGTTCGGGGTTCGGGGCTTTGAAGTAGTGGATCCGAAATCCCTTTTTTTCCAAAGCCCTCGAAGCCGGATCTTTGAAAATGGCCTGCGCAAGTTCTGCGAGCACGAATCCTAAACCGTAAACCCTCAACCCTCAACCCTCAACCCTCAACCCTAAACCCTAAACCCTAGACCCTAAACCCTAAACCCTAAACCCTAAACCCTAAACCCTAAACCCTAAACCCTAAACCCTAAACCCTAAACCCTAAACCCTAAACCCTAAACCTCAACCTGGCCAGGCAGAGTTGCCTCCCGAACTTCTCCAGGGAGCCCCTCTCCACCTCTTGATGCGCCGGAGGGGCGCTTTCATGAAGCCTCCCAACAAATGCCGCCAATGCTGCCTGGCTTGAGTTGGGGTTTGGGGTTTAGGGTTTAGGGTTTAGGGTTCAGGGTTCAGGGTTTAGGTCTTCGGGTTTAGGGTTTCGGGCTTAGGGTTTAGGGCTTGGGGTTTAGGGTTTCGGGCTTAGGGTTTAGGGCTTGGGGTTTACGGCTTAGGGCTTGGGGCTCGGGCCTTAAGGGGTATAGTGGGGCTTGAGGCATAGGGCTTAGGGCTTTGGGCTTAGGGGGGGTGCCCTTGAACATGTTCGAAGCATTTTTTCTTTGAAGGTTACTTGGAGGTTCGTGGTTATTTGGTTGATAAGTACCATGAACCTCCAAGTACTTGCTTGCTTGGGCTGGAGTGGGGAAGTGGGGTTGGGAAATGGGGGGGTCGGGGGGTTGTTGCACGAGGGATTGTCGGTCTTCCGTCTTTAGTTGGAGGTTCATGGGTACTTTCTAACCCCAATTATGAATCTACTTAGGGGGCTTGCTTATAAGTACAGTTATGATTCGGGTTATAAGTGCCCATGAATCTCCAGGTAGGCTTGATAGGCTGAAGTTTGAGAATAGGATAAACCCTTGAATCTCAAGGTTTACGTACTGGTTTTTAGAAGGGTTTCTGGAGCTATGTACCCTGTGTACTCTTTTTAGAGGGGTTGAAGGGGATGTACTGCAGCTAATTTTCAGCTTCCTCCTCAGATGGCAGTAAGTTGAGGGCTCGGGGCGACCGAAGACGCTTGCCTAGGTGTTTCAACACAGCAGACCGATTGCTATGCCTACTTTGTCAGCCACGACTGGGCAACAAATCGCTGGTTGAAGTATTTCTCCTTGCTGGTGCACTTCAATGGCGTCCCTGCCGCTGTTGCTGCCCTCATTGCCGGCATCGGTCTAGGTTTGCTGATTACCCTGGGCCTTGTGCCACATTCCTCATGGATGCCTTTCCTCGCGCATTTACTGCCCGTGTTGGTGTTACTCTTCTGGCAAGACATCCGTCGAGTCGTTTTCCAGGCACGCATGGTTTTCTTGGACTGCGCATGCATTCCTCAAGGTGACGATGCCTTGAAGGCGCAGTGCATACGCGGTCTGGTTTCCTTCCTGAACCGATCAGAAAAGCTGATTGTGTTGTGGTCGCCCCGATACTTCCGCAGAATTTGGTGTGTATCTTGGTAGCCCAGTGGTAGCCGTTACCCTTTTTTTGGTTCTGGGTTCCCTTATCAAGTAACCAACCCCAAAAAGGGTGCCCTTACTATGATATGGTTACTGGGCTACCAAGGCATATGAAGTGGCTTTCTTCTTGCAAAAGAACCAGGCAGAGCAGATCATTTTTGTTCCGGTCCAACTCGCAAGCATTTGGTTCCTGAACTATCTGCTGGCGCTACTTACGCGGACTACCCTGTACCTACATCCCCCTTGGGAGTTTTTGTTTTTATATATTCTTGTTTATATAATACCCAAGAGGATATTGCAACATATTGTTTTTTAAGGTTCAAAGGGGAGTATAGGTACTTCAGCGAAGCCATTGACATCTATGGCCAGTCCGTTGCTGCTTACATCGGTCTTGTTGGTGGTGTGCTGTTGCTCCAACAGCTAACAATTTGGCCAGCAGTGTACTATGCCGTGACGAACTTGCTGCAGGACCCAGTCAGGTGAATTGATGTGGGTTGTTCTATTGACTGTTCCAGTCTCTGCCTTACTACTTGGACCCAGACTAGGGTTCGGGTTCCTGTGTGCGCCTCTTTAAACCAAAAAGGGTACCCTGTTTATTCCTAGGGTACTCCTGAGTCTAGACTACAACCCGGGAAGTGCCCTACAACCCTAAACCCCAAATCCTAAACCCTAACCCCTAAGCCCTAAACCCCTAAACCCCTAAACCCTAAACCTAAACCTATCAGGACGTAGAGGAGCTTCCTCAGCAACTGAAGCAGTTTAACGTTGATGATGCTGGATGCTCATGCTGCACCAACCATCACCGCGATCCCGTTGCGAAGCTGCAGAACTGAGAAAGGCCCTGGTTCATAGTAGGGAATGACGGAACTCGGGTCCTATGTACTCCCTTAAAGGGTACCCTAATCCCTAAACCCTAAACCCTAAACCCTAAACCCTAAACCCTAAAACCCTAAACTTAAAACCCCCAAACCCACTAAGAAACAGCCAGACGAGGCTCAGCTTTCTTCGTAGATCGCTTGCTTGACAAAATCCAACCGTGTCATTAGGGTTTAGGGTTTAGGGTTTAGGGTTTAGGGTTTAGGGTTTAGGGTTTAGGGTTTAGGGTTTAGGGTGCAGTTGTCAGGGGTGAGGGGTGAGGGGAAGGGAGTAGATCAGGGAATGGTTGCCGACGCCAACGCACGCGCACACTTAGGGGGACTCTGTCCGGAAAGGCACAACTGATGGTGTTCGCACTTTCCCAGCCAAGGTGACAGGAGAGCCAGTCCCATGTGATCGGAAGCTCATCTACGAGGTGTTGGAGAGCCGCCTGGTGATGCAATGGCACTTTCACATGCAAAGAAGCACCGCGCATTAGCGCATCCTTAGATGTCTCCCTTCCACAGTTGCTTGTGCAGCGCGTTGTGCTTAAGTTGCAGAAGTTTGTCTCCATTCCCCCACCCCCCCGAGGGGGCTCCCGCCTGTATGGGGTCGGAGAACCCAAATTGAGTCCTAAGCCCTAGAATACCCCAAAGGCTCCCATGTAGTAACTTATTTTGGGTAGTATACTAGAGTCCCTGTAATTAAGCCAAAAAGGAACGACATTAGAGCATTCAGGTAAGCTCTAGGCCCTAAAAGGGCTTCGGGTCGGGATCTTAAGCCCTTAGGCACCCTTCTCCTGTTTTGTGTTTGGTTCTTCGGATCCTGACTCTTTTTGGGTTTATTGGGTTTCTTATTCAGGCAGCTAAAAGTTTAATTTATAGCTACCCTGGGCCAAGGGTTGGGTCTCAACGGGGTTGAAGTGTTTTCAGCAGTTTACTGATTAGGGCTGAAAGCTAGGGTTTCACCTCTTCGGGGTTCAGGACTCAAGGTCTTTAGGGTTTTGTCTGCTTGGGGGTTTACCCTAGAGACCCTAAACCCGCACGTAAACCCGAAACAGTCCACCACGAAGCAAGCCCCCGGTGCTGGCGTTCCAGGCGCGCTGTGCGCACCAGGGTTTAGGGTTTAGGGTTTAGGGTTTGTGGGGTTTAGGGTTTAGGGTTTGGGGTCTCCGGTTGCGTGAATCCATGTCTCGAGGATGGTTCGGGCCTGGGCAAGGTACCGAGGACAGGGCTCTCGCGTTTCGAAGCGGATCGGAATTCGTTGTGTAGGGTTTAGGGTTTAGGGTTTAGGGTTTAGGGTTTAGGGTTTAGGGTTTAGCGTTTAGGGTTTAGGGTTTAGGGTTTAGGGTTTTGGGATTTTCCCAAAGAGCTCAATACCCCTGAATTACGGGTTATGCCGCAGTTCTGCCTCAAGTCATGAAGGACCCCTTTCAAAAGTATCTATCTTCCTTAGTTGAGGGATATTGGGCTCTTTGGGTTAAGCGTTGCCGCAGCAACACCCCAAAATCAAAGCTTCCATGTGCAGCATTAAACGCGAAACCTGAAACCCGAGGCCCTAATCGATCGAGGACATTTTGCCCCAAGTTCCTTGGGTACAAAACCCGACGGGCGAAAGCTACGAGGTTTCAGGTTTTGGGCAGACGGTCTTCTGTTGGGGGGTTTTCCAGTATCCTGAGTCTTGTGCCTCGCAAGGACGCGCTTGCCCGCTTCAACACGCACATGCGGGAAAGCTTGGTTATGCAGGTGGAGCAAACATCCCGGTCACGCGGCACGGTGTGGGGAAACTCTGGATATGCCAAGGACCCTAAACCCTAAACCCTAAACCCTAAGCCCTAAGCCCTAAGCCCTAAAGCCCAAACGGGTTTGAGGTCCAGAGGCCCCATGAACGCCGTCAACCCTGGCTTGAGGTTCGAGTGTTTCGGTTGCTTGGCTTTTAGTGTTCAAACGGGCCATTCTTGCGGTTTAGGGCTTCGGGTTTAGTGTCGGCGTGTGGTCTGTGTGGTTGCCCCCTTTCCTTTCAGCATGCACCCCTAAACCCAAAACCCTAAGCCCCAAACCCTAAACCCTAAACCTCAAACCCTAAACCCTAAACCTCAAAGACTCAACAACCCCAAAGCCCTCATCCCGACGTCCTCAAAACAGCACCACGGCAAGAAGTCCGAGAAGAGCTGCCGGGTCTAGAGGCTAGGGTTTAGGGTTTTGGGTTTTGGGTTTAGGAGGGTTTACCCTAAACCCTAAACCCTAAACCCTAAACCCGAAACCCCCGCCAAATCCGCCAAACCCGGCACTTGCTTGGCGATTGCCGAGGCCCGAGATTCTCATCCTCAAGCACCGAGGTCCAACAATTCCAGTGCCAGATGTTTAGGGTTTGGGGTTTAGGGTTTAGGTTTTAGGGTTTAGGGTAAACCCTCCTAAACCCAAAATTCAGGGGTTAAGGTTTAGGGCCAGATGTCTCAAAACCCAGAGTAGGCCCTGGTCCCTTGGTTTTAGGGTTTAGGGTTTCGCCCTTTTGGGGGTTTAGCGCTAGGACCCGGAGCAGTCCTTGCCACTCCCTTCTGTTTAGGGTTCAGGGTACAGGGTTTAGGGGTGTGAGTTTAGGGTTTAGGGTTTAGGGTTTATAGGGTTTATAGGGTACAGGGTTTAGGGGTGTGGGGGGTTCCTTAGAAGCCCCTTGACACCGAGAAAGGCACCGTTTTCAATCCCAGACTCTTGGGTCCAGATGTGGTCTTCAACTCAAGCCGATAGGCTTTGGGCTCCAGGGTTTAGGGCTTTTAGGGTCCTAGGGTATTTAGGGTTTAACATTTACGGTCTAGGTTTTAAGGTTTAAAAATTAGGGTTTAGGGTTTAAGGTTTAAAATTTATGGTTTAGGGTTTAAGGTTTAAGATTTATGGTTTAGGGCTTAAGGTTTAACATTTATGGTTTAGGGCTTAGGTTTCGAGATCTTTTGGCGTCGTGCCTAGGGTTGAGGACTTTGGGTTTAGGGACTTCAGCCCGCAGGGCCCCAGGCCCTCAGCCCTCAATCCTCACCGAATTCCCCCCCCCCCCCCCCCAACAGCGTTGCGTTTAGGGTTTATAGGGTTTAGGGTTTAGGGTTTAAGGTTTAGGGTTTAGGTTTAGGGTTTAGGGTTTGGGGTTTCGTGCCCTAAAACCACAACCTCACCTCAGCTCTCCAAGCCCAGGCATGGGGTTGTTGCCAACTGTGCCGCCTGCTTCCCGCCACGCGGACCCCAAAACACGAGGGGTTAAGAGTTTTGGGGGGTTTAGGGTTTAGGGTTTAGAGATTAGGGTTGAGGGTTTAGGGTTGAGGGTTTGGGGTTTAGAGTCTTGGGTTTGGGGTGGTGGTTGGGTGGGGCTGGGGGGCAGCGGAGTTGCGTTTAGGGTCTTAGGGTTCAAGGTTTAGGGTTTAGGGTTTAGGGTTTAGGGTTCAAGGTTTAGAGTGTAGACTTCAGGAGGACGGCGAACTTTTGTCCTGCACTCCTCCCTAAACCCTCAAGCCTAAGCCCCAGGTATCTCTCTGCCGACATCGTCATGACGTGTGACCGAATCAACAGGAGCGGTTTCGGGTTCAGGGGTTCGAGGGTTTACGGCTTAGGGTTTAGGATTAGGGTGCCTGTCATCTACATTTATGGCTCGCAAGCAACTATAGCAGAACATAATAGGCAAATTTTGTGCTGACGTAAACAGGATCCGCTATGTAGGGCCCTGGTAGGATTAAGGGCCCAAAGTTTAGGGAACCCTCAACCATAAGCCTTAAGCCCCCGACACGCTCAACACGAGCTGGCGGTCTGCATGCAGAGGCAAATCCACCACTTGGGGGTCCTACTCCAACTATCCCACATTCCAAGAGCTTGGGTTTAGGCCTTGGGGGTTTGCCCTAAACCCTTAAGCCTACTGAAGCCCTAAATCCTAAACCCTAAACCCCAAACCTTAAACGTCCTTAGAGAGCACCAGACCCCCTGCCCCCCCCAGCCTCCAGTGCCCTTGGAGGCAGACGCGCGGAGTTTTGCTCTATCCCGCTGGGCAGCTCTACATCTTCTTGGTGGTTCTTTGCGGAATGCGCGTCATGGTGCTGCTGCTGGGCCATACTCACCTTGCTTTGCACTTTAGTGTGCTCTCTCACACCTAAACCCCCAGAAAAAAGGAAAGAACAGAAACAGAGAAGCCCAAAGCCCGCAACCCAACCTAGGATGTCCAGTAGTGCCCAACCCTAAACCCTAAACCCTAAACCCTGAACCCTGAACCCTGAACCCTGAACCCTAAACCCTAAACCCTAAACCCTAAACCGATCAGGATTGGCCAGTTTGGGCAACACAGTGCTTGCCGCCACCGCGCAGGGACGATTGCCGGCCAGGTGGCCCTCCATGCCGCCTACTCGTCTCCTGGGGGCATATGGATCTAGCTTGGGCTTGTTTTAGGGTTTAGGGTTTAGGGTTTAGGGTTTAGGGTGTAGGGTTTAGGGTTTAGGGTGTAGGGTTAGTTTTCTGGTTTTTTTTTACCACTTAGGGGCTTTAGGGTTTAGGCTTTTTAGCGGATTGAGGACTTCGCGGGCGTTTGCACATGTAAGGCTTTTGGGTTTATCACGGCTACTTAGGTATGGACTATGCAAGGGTTACAAAGGGGTTCTATAGGGGAATAAGATGAAGGGACCCTTGTAGAGGTCCCTCCTTTTACCCCTTAATTGGTGAACGCCAGGTTTGGTATGATGTTGCTCTGGACGTCCTGGGCCGCAGTGATTGATGAGTACAGCTACATGCCTCTATCAGCCCTCTGCATCTCGATCGGCACTCGGAATGTCTTGCGTTTTCCATCCGTGTGCCTAAGAGAACCGCGAACTCTAAACCCTAAACCCTAAACCCTGAACCCTGAACCCCCCCTGAGTAGTTTTTCAGACCAGCCTAGGCATCCTTCTTTGTTTCTCAGCCTATGTGCTGGCTCCTCTGTGCCGGGGCTCTTGTGGCTCATGCCTCACCGCAGACAGGGCAAGGAAAATGGCGAGCAGAGGAGAAAGCGTTGGGCTGGAGCCTTGGCATAGCCCAGCGTAGCCGTTTGCCTTTTGTTATTATTATTATTAGTTGTATTATTATTATTATTATGATTATGATTATGATTATTATTATTATTATTATTATTATTATTATTATATATATAGATGTATATATATATATATATATTTTTTTTTTTTTTTTTTTTTTTGGGGGGGGGGGTGGTCTGGGTTCCCTTGTAAATTAGCCCCCCAGGAACCTAAACCCTAACTCTAAACCCTAAACCCTGAACCCAAAGCTGCAGGAGCACGTCGTGGCTGGTGTCAAGGGGTGTGACAATGTTTACAGCGAGGACCTGGTTGAGGTTATTGTGTGAATTTTGGGATGTTCCCCCTTATACTAGCAGCCGTTTAGGGTTTATGTTTAACCCCAAACCCCAAACTGCAGGAGCACGTCATGGCTGGTCCTGACAGGCAAGTCAAGGAGTGTGAGTGTGACAAGGTTTACAACGAGGACCTGGTTGAGGTTATTGTGTAAATTGTGGGATGTTTCCCCCTTCTACTGACAGCCGTTTAGGGTTTAGGGTTCAGGGTTTAGGGATTACAGTACCCCCCTATTCTGATCCCTATGAAGGAGCTGTTAGTACAAGGGGTACATCCCAAGTTCAAATCCGCGAGTTTGGCGCTGGAAATCTTGGAACACCTGACAGCAGGGACTCCAAACGGTGCGTGAAGGGATGAATCAACCCTAAACCCTAAATCCTAAACCCTAAACCGTCGGGAATTAGGCACCTAGGATTCCCAGTAGTACCCTTATTCCCTTCTTTTTTTTTTTTTTTTTGGGGGGGGGGGGGGGGGGTTAGGTTCCATTTTAAGCCCCTTTAAGCAAAAAAGTGGTAGGTTACTGGGCAACCTAGGTACTTACTACTTCTATTGCTTACGACCCCCCCCCCCCAAAAAAAAAAAAAACAATGAAACAACGTAAAGACAATGGTAACCCCGATATTTCCCTTATAAGGAAGTTTGTTTTTTTTTTATTTCTTGGGTGCTTCTGAAGCAATTCGTAGACTAAGGCTTCGGGAATTAGGTACACAGCTACTCTACAACCCCCCCCCTACCCTAAACCCTAAACCCTAAACCCTAAACCCTAAACCCCTTAATTCCTCATTCCTAAGTCGCACATCGACTGCTCTTCTATCATTCTTCAGATGTCGCGACTTGCTGAGCGGCAGAATTTGGCAGAATTAGGGTTTAGGGTTTAGGGTTTAGGGTTTAGGGTTTAGGGTTTAGGGCGAAACGGCCGAAAAGTCTCTAGACTGTCAGGCTGTGTCTCTTCGTCTAGCGAACCCAGTCGGTGCAGGGGGGGGGGGGGAGGGGGGTTGTTGCCATTGTCGGGGCGTGCGTGCATAAAGATTGTTTAGGCCTTAGGGTTTAGGGTTTAGGGTTTCAAGAGGTGTCTCAAGCTGGCCCTTATGTTCGAAATCCCCCCCCTGTGTTTTAACTCAGCGTCCGTTGTGTTGCAAAAAAGCGCAGCCGAGACGAGAGTGTCTACGCTTCCGCTCTTCGAAAGAGAGAGCCTTTCCCATGGGTTTAGAGTTTAGGGTTTAGGGTTCACGTCCAGGTTTTGGCCGGTAAAACTTGTGGTGTCCCTTGTAGGGTTTTTTCCTCTAGTCAATAAAACTCTACGTCCGCTTCCCCATCGTACTCGTAGGTACATGGCGTTGTAAGCATGGCAAATGTAGTTTCAATCCAGTCCTACCCCAATGAACGTCTGGGTTTTGCTTTTGGATGTTTGTTAACTCCGCTTCTTCCCTTGTAAGGGAACCTATTAACCCTAAACCCTAAAAACTGACCTTCAAAGGGCATATAAAGCCCTCCGAGTTTACATCGATCGATGAACCTCCAAGCAGAGCTTTGTCCTGCTGGTCACGTCTCTTCAAAGCGTCGGCGCCTTGCCCAATGCCCAACAACCGCAGAGTAACCCCAAACCCCAAACACTAAACCCTAAACCCTAAACCCCTAAACCGCAGATCATAAACCTTCAGTAAGTCTTGATGAACCTAACTAAACCCCAAACCCTCAATTTCCTGAACCCTAAATGTCCTAAACCCTGTAAACCTAAACCCGAAACTCCAAATTTCCTCAACCCTAACCCCTGAGTGTCCTGACCCTCAAACCTACATGTTCTAAACCCTAAACCCCGGACCGGGCAAGGGGCTTCATCCCTTTGAGCAAGAACCGCCGAGCGCCGCCTAAAATCTGCTGAGCCGGCTCACGGGGGTGAAGGGCTGCTAAGATTGCAGGGCTTTCGGTTTAGGAGATTAGGTTTATGTAGGGAAAGTCTCGGAAGATTTCAGGGTTTTGGGCTTAGGGAAGGTTAAGAGGATTCCAGGGTTTAGGGTAAAACTCTTGGTTGTTTAGGATTAAAGGTTGAGGGTTGAGGGATGTAGATTTTGGGCTTAGGAGCGAAAGAAGCCCTTGATTGGATAGGATTTAGGATGAATTCGGGAATGAGGCACCTTCCTTAACTGCAAAAAACTTTCCAAGTTACCCCCACCACCCCCGCCACCCCGCATCTATATATATATATATACATGTATATAACCCTCTAACCCTTATTCCAGTAATTAGCGCTCTAGCTACATAATTCATAACCCACCTTCCTAACCCCAAACCCTAAAACCCCAAACCCCAAACCCTAAACCCTCAACCATAAACGCTAAACCCTAAACCCCCAACCCAAAACGCCAAACCCAAAGCCCTAAAGTCCAAACCCCAAACCCCAAACCCCAAACCCTAAACCCTAAACCCGGCACTCAGCGAAGTCATTGCCTTGCCCTAAATCCTGAACCCGAAACCCTAAACCCTGAACCCTATACCCTATAAACCCGATTATCAACCCTAAACCCTAAACCAAGGTCTGGGCACCCTCCCCCGCTTTGTGGCCACGGCAGCGCAGACCCTGTGGTCACAAAGAAAGATTTGGGCCGCTTGCTCGGCTTGGGGTTGAGGGTTTAGGGTAACCCTAAACCCTAAACCCCAAACCCCAAACCCCAAACCCTAAACCCTAAACCCTAAACCCTAAACCCTAAACCCTAAACCTCTGCTCGGCTGGGTGTTTCGATGCCCCTCGAAGCCTGCATGCTGAGTCCTGTTTAGGGGTTGTTGGGTTTAGGGTTTGTAGGGTCCAGGGTCCAGGGTCTAGGGTTTAGGGTTTAGGGTTTAGGGTTAGAAGCCAAAGCATCTTGGGATATTTCGGGGGATTTGGGTTTTGGGTTGCGCGCAAAACCCTAAACCCTAAGTCCTAAACCCTAAACCCTGAACGCCGAAGTAGCGTCAACGTAGGCCCCTAGACAGCGCCTGGGGGTCCAGGAGGGCCGAGTCGAAACTCTCAACCCCGAAGAGTTCGAACCTTCAATCCAGGGTTCAGAGTTCTTCAACGCACCCAGGGCCTCAAACCCTAAAGTTGTAGGGTTTGGGGTTTAGGGTTTAGGGTTTAGGGCTAGCCTTCAATCCAGGGCTCAGCGTTCTTCAAATGCAGCCCCTCAGCCTTAGGAGCCAACCCAGGGCCCGAACCCCTAAAGGTCAGGGTTTAGGGTTTAGGGTTTAGGGTTTAGGGTTTCAGGTTTACGGCTTTTAAGGTTTACTGTTTAGAGCTTTTAAGGGCTTTTTGGTTTAGGCTCAGAGGCAACATCTCGCGGCCAATTCTCGTTCACCCAGTGTACAGAAGGTTCCTTTTTCATATTGGTGAGTGTATATATTTGGTGTCCTTTTGGGGGTACGAGACATAAAAACCCTACTTCATTTTAGGTTTCGTTTAGCCTCCGCGAATCCCCAGCATTTCGTGGGGTTCGAAGTGTGCAGGCTGGAAGGTCTCGAGTTTAGGGATTCCTAAGTCCTAAGAATTGCTTAAGAACCCCCCAACAATATTTTCTTTATAAGGGTAATATAGGGATCGTTGTTTTTTTGGGAGGGTTTTGAAAGACCCTAAGCCGTAAACCCTCAACCCTAAAAAGCAAACCTGAAGCAAACCGTAGTTTGGGGTACAGCAAGCTGCTGAGGCCAAGCGGCCGGAGATCAAGAACTACTATGCGCAACGACTGGAGGATTCACTCCAAGCCCGAGGTTTGGGTTTCGGGGTTAGGGTGTAGGTGTAGAGTATAGGGTTTAGGGTTTAGGGTTAAGGTGCCCTCAGCCAACTAAACCCTAGGCCCTAGGCCCTAAGCCCTAAAGCCCCATCAGCCCCAACCCGTAGGCCCCAGACTCTAAACCCCTACACCAGTGGCAGGAAAGCATCTGAAACTATCTCCTGTGCCCTAAACCCTAAACCCCTAAACCCCAAACCCTACACCCTAAACCCTAAACCTGTGATCCTTTGCCCTGCACTAACCCCCGAGTCACTGAGACTTCTGTGCATTTTTGTGGGCTTCCCTAAACCCTAAACCCTAAACCCTAAACCCTAAACCCTAAACCCTGGTGCGACCTAGGACCCAGAGTCGGCTTGCTCCCTTGTTTTAGGGCTTCGAGTTTCGGGCCAGGACCCGGAGTAGGCCCTTCTTCCCTTGTCTTAGGGTTTAAGGGTTTAGGGGTTTAAGGGTTTAGGGTCTAGGGTTTAGGGTTTAGGGTTTAGGGTTTGGGGTTTGGGGTTTGGGGTTTGGGGTTTAGGGCTAGGACGAGAGTAGGCCTTTATTCCCTTGTGTTTTACATTTTGGGGTTCAGGGTTTCGGGTTTAGGGCTAGGACCCGGAGTAGGCCCATACTCCCCTTCTGTCAGGGCTTTGGTTCTCTTCTACGCTCCTGGTATATTGTTGCTTCCCAGGTTACCAGGGTGTAGGCAAGCTAGCGCCCCCCCCCCCCCCCCCCCCCCAGCCCTAAACGCTAAAGCCTAAGCCTGGCTGTGTGGGACATCATGCTTCTTTTGTTTTCAAGCCTTTGGATATGTATAGATTCTTAGTACAGGGTACAAGACCAACAAAACATACTGCATCTTTCTTGAACTGGAATAACAACATTCAACATGAAGAATGACCTTAACGCTTGCGTGATCAACCAAACCCTCACCCCTAAACCCTAAGCCCTAAACCCTAAACCATGTGGCCCGAAGCCCGCTTGAATGAAACCACAGTTCTGCTGCTCTTTTTTTTTGTGGAGCTAGGTCGGCCCTTGAGCTATTGTCTGTGTTCCCTGAACCTTAAGCCTTAAACCCTAAACCCTAAACCCTGTAAGAGGATCATGTTTAAGACTTTTTCTCAGAGGGCCTTGAGGGCTTTTTGAACCCTAGACCCTAAACTTTTTTAGGCCTCTTTTTGCGCAGGACTGGGCGCAACTGCGCCCGGCACAAGACGTCGCCAGCTTCGCAGAGTCTCAGTCTCAGTCGAAGGGCATGAAGGATTCTTATCTAGACCTCAAACCCGAAGCCCCAAACCCCAAACCCTAAAATCCCTAAACTACTCAACCCTAAACCCTAAACCCTAAACCCACCTAAACCCTAAACCCTATAAGCCCTAAACCCTTTACCCTCAACCTAAATCTCTAGCAT